TCATTGTTGTTTGGCGGTTCCGGGCTGGGGATTCGAACCCGCCACCTTAGGTGTACGTGGCTGGCGCCTTAGCCAGTTGAGCTATAGGCGCCGAGCCCTCAGTGATCTTTTTAAAAGGATCTTCCTTCCAGAATTTACAAACCTTTAAATCCCACTGTTACATGTATTATATTTTTCCTATTATACTTCAGTGAAAAAAAAAACAAGGACATAGTATTCCCATGTTATTATGGCTATAATCTAGCAGTAATTCAGTAACATCAAGGCTAAAAGCTTTTCCTATTACAAAGTCAAAAGCGTCATTTGGTGACGCTTCTGTTTAACTCCTGTTGCCAACGTTACTATAATTGGGAAAGCAAATATCCTGAATATAAACATCAAGAAAAATGATGGTAGCAGTTTTAAACAGTGATTCAGCAAATTAGCTGCACACAAGGAAGATGTAATCATCTTGAAAAGAAATTTTAGGACTCCTTCAAATAAGAGTTCTTTGCAGACCTGAATCCTTATTCTAAGTTTATAGAGCTCACCAAAGAACAATTATAATAGCAGCTGGCCTGAAAGAAAATTCAGTCTCTGAAGTCTTTCCACCTTGTTCACAGGGGCACATTTCAAAGCAAGCCCCATCATTACCTGCATTGAAGGCTCCTGCTGTCCCAGAAAAGATCTTACCCACAGAGATTATTGTCAGTTTTTCTACCATGCCAACCCAGCCCTCTGACAAAGACAGTCTCTTCATCAAAGTGTTTTGTGAAAGCAAAAGGTTTTTCTCCTCCTGCGTACACGCAGCTTTACATGTTTCTAACAAAGTATGAATAGTAGACCAGAGTCTACTAAGGTTAGAATTTTCCAGCAATTTTAATTTTAAAAAGAATGCCCTACCTAACCTTGACACAAAGATTCAATCTATTTAAATAATGGCTTCCACTGCTAAAGGAAAAATTTTTGTAGTTGTAAGATTTTGAGAACATGATCTTCAAAGTTGTTTTAAACAGCTCTCCTCAACCTTTGCTCCGTAAGTTAATAGTGAGGACATTTAAAAATGAACAGGCAGATGTCTGTACATAATAAAATCCCACTGGACTGCTTAAGCAATCTGTTTAACAGGATGGACCTGCTCCCAAACTTTTCTAGCAGCAAACATCTGCTGAGGGCCTACAGTGTGTCAGGCACTGTAGTGAGCACATAACATGGGGGAGCATCTCCAGGCTTCTCTAGTGAACATTTTCCCATCAACTCCATGAGAGGAGGAAACCTACCTATCCTATCATGTGGGTAGGCATTGTGGCCCCAGTGCCTGCAATACCTGACTTAGAGCAGACAATAAATTCTTGAGAAATGAACAAATTTTAAAATTTGTTATACATTTAATAGTTCTTTAACATAATTATTTGAAATGCACTTGACAGTAAAGAGGTTCAGAGCTGATTTTTTTTTTTTTTTTTTGAGACAGTGTCAAGCTGTTGCCCTGGGTAAGAGTGCTGTAGCGTCATAGCTCACAGCAACCTCCAACTCTTGGGCTCAAGCGATCCTCTTGCCTCATTTTTTTAAATTTTTAGTAGAGACAGGTTTTTCCTATTGCTCAGGCTGGTCTCAAACTTGTGAGCTCAAGCAATCCACCTGCCTCAGCCTCCCAGAGTGTTAAGATTACAGGCGTGAGCCCAGCCCAGATCTGTTTTTTTAATATTTGTTAATCCTGAAGATATGACAACTTCGTTGTGATCAGAGGTTAAAGAGAATTCCATGTATAACCCAGACGACCTACATTTGCTTCTCAGTAGATTGAAATGTTACAGCTGGTTGTTCTTTAGTGCAGTGTGGAATAAAGGCTCCCCACAGAAGAAAGCCATGAAAATAGTAATCCTGTGTGAGTGCTTCAGTTCAAAAAATATGTATCTTTTTGAGACAGTCTTAAGCTGTTGCCCTGAGTAGAATGCCATGGAATCATCATTGTTCATAGCAACCTCCAACTGTAGGACTGAAGACATCCTCCTGCCTCAGTTTTTCTATTTTTAGTACAGACAGGTCTCGCTATTGCTCAGGCTGGTCTTGAATTCATGAGCTCAAGCGATACACCAGCCTTGGACTCCCAGAATGCTAGGATTACAGGTGTGAGCCACAGCACCCAGCCCAATTCAACAAATATTAAAGTCAAGCCTCTAATATGTGCTAAGTATTATGCTAGATGCTGGAAATACAAAAAACGAGCCTGCTTTCTGTCCTTAAAGAGTTATACCTAGGGTGGCGCCTGCGGCTCAAAGGAGTAGGGCGCTGGCCCCATATGCCGGAGGTGGCGGGTTCAAACCCAGCCCCGGCCAAAAACTGCAAAAAAAAGGAGTTATACCTCTTAAATAGAGGAAAGAAAAATACTTTGCTTTGATTATACAAATTGCTTAAATCTTAGGGAAATGTTGCAATTGCAACAGTGGTTGCCTCATAAATCCTGGAGAAAGTATCAAAGTAGGCCATCAATCCTTATGGGGAAATCCAAAAACAGGTCTTTTAAAATTACGACAAATTTGTCTTTTGGATATACAGAACATGGTGGCAGATACTTCAATGCAACTGCTAAACAGCTTGCACTATACAAACCTTTAAGAAGTCACCTTCTCCCCCAAATGCTTGTTTTATTTTCCTTTTCTACATGAGTCATTCAACTCTACATTCTTTTCTCCAAGCTCAAAGTTTAGCATGAACAATAATAACAATCATTTAATGTTCAACTAAAAAAGAGATGTTAATTTTCACTACAGGTTTAGAGATAAAAAAAAAATTGACTTGCACAAAATTGAAGAAACTGAAGATGTCTGGAAAAGTTACTGAGCATTATTCAGTGTTCAATATGGTGGTTTTCAAGGTCTGCTCGGAGTTTGACGTGGAACCCTAGCTCACCCAACAGTATCCACCTCCATAGTTATCGGATTAAAGGCGCTACTGTGTTAAGGACCAACCAAGTCATAAGTGTTGCCCAGTTGCAAAAAGGGGGGCCATTGGCTCCAAACCGAGGGCTGCACTACTACCATTATTCTCTGGAGACATCATCATCAAGAAACCCAAAGGAGGCCTATTTTTAAAGGAAAGCTAAAGTGCTAACTGAAATGGTAGAGGTGCAAGCGCCCTCCTATCATTTCATCTGGCATCTAGAGAACTACGCCCTACTTTAAAAAAAAAAAAGCTGTGAACTGGGATGGTAAGGAAGAGATAGGCTTTGAGAAGTGACTACTCATCCTCACGCTGTGTAGGTTCAAAAACACTTGCTCCCCTACCTAGTTTTAGGCAAGCCGCTTTACCGTTTTAGCCTATGCTTTCCTCGTCTGGGAAATGGGATAACAAAAGTTACTCTTGTCAGGGGTCTCTGAGGCCCTCGAACTGTCCAGTCGGCTAACTCTTTCATATACAATTATGGTGCGGAAAGAATCAGAGCAGGTATGCAAGGCGCTTGGCACAGCTCCTGCCACACAGCACTACCACCTGCAGCAGCTCACCCTTGGCTCTGGCCATTAAAGGCGCTGTTATGACTTGCCGAGAGAAAGCAGGTCTGCTGCCTGCTAAGCTGAGCGGCAGCTTTCTCGGCCCGGCCACTTACAGCGGGGCACGCCGGTTCGCCCTCTCTGCCTCGGAGGAATGCGCTGAGGATTAAATCAGTTAATCCACGGAAAGCGCTTAAAACGGTGCCTGGCGCGCAGTTCGCACTCAACGCACGTTAGTGATTATTCCCGGCGCCGAGCATTAGCAGGGCCGCGGGCCCCGCGCACTGGTTTCCCGCGGGCAGGAGGGGCTGGCAAGCCAGCCCCGCCGCCAGGTGAGCCCGACACCTTCCCTGCACCTGCCTGGGAAGAAGCCTCGAGCAAAAGCAACTTTTTCACAGTTTCGCACCAGGGGCCTCCTCTGCCGGGCCGCCTGCCGCCCCAGAGAGCGACCTCGTCCTCACCTTGCTGGAGGTCCTGGTGGTCGTACCATGGCTCGTCCTCCTTCATCTCAAACTCTTCCACTAGGTTTTCCGCCAGCATCTCGGCCGGGTCTTCCGGGGGCAGCGGCCCCCGCCGCCGCCTTCCCGCCTCAGCCGCTGCCCCAGGCTCTCCCCCGACCCCTCCGCCCTCAGCCAGAGCCGCCCTCGGGCGGGACGCGCCGCCGCCCAAGCTCCACCGCGCCGCCTCAGCACAGCACCCGCCGGCCGCCGCGGGAAGCGCGGCCTCCCGACGGCTTCCCGACGGGCCTCGCGCAGCCCAACGGCCCAAACGGCCGGTGCCCCGGCAAGCGCCCTGAGCCGGCTCCCGACACCGCAGTCGGGCCCAACGTGGCACTTTGGCAGCACCCTCCCCGACCGGGGCTGCGATTCAAACCCCCGGCGGCACCTCGACCAATCGCGAGAGGGCCGCTAGACGAGCGGCAGCCACCTTGTCCAATCGCGTCTCTCCTAAGGCCCGCGGCTCGCGGTCAAGCAGCCAATGGAGGTTCTGGAAGAAACAAAGAAGGCGGGGAAAAAAACTAAGGGGTGCGGCCGAAGGCCCCGCCCCCTCGCCCGCCTAGGGAATCTTTGAGGGGTGCGTCTGGGGTTCCGGGGTGTGGAGGCGGCGGTGGCCAGTGTGGTGGGTGTCCGTCCAGGCTTTCAGACACTGGATAGATACTGCGCGAGCCGGAGGGGCGAGGACTCCTCCTCTGAGCAGTGGGCAGTTGTCTTGGGGAGTGCCTGGTGCGGGCGGGAGGCGCAAAGGGTGCCGGAAGCCTGAGGTCGGCTGTCGGGTTGGCTCTTCTCGCTTCTTGACTCTCAGATTTGCTCTCGGTGGTGCCGGGAGACTCAGGGCCGATCTGGAGTCTAGGTCTGAGAAAACGCCCTCTGAGTCTTAGCTCTTTTCTCCTTGACAGCTGAGCAATCCGAGCCTCTGGGAATTGTACTCACTCCCCCTAAAACCGTGGGTGTCAGACCCGTTTGAGAATCTGGGGTGGGGCGGGGCTCAGGAAGCTGACTAGTTTGGGGAAATTTTGCAATCTATTCTGGATATGACCTTTAAAAGGTCCTCGTAGACCACAAGTTCAACATCTGGGAACGTGACGTAGCGCCTGGAGAGGGGAAGCTGCAGCCCTGGCACCTGATGGCCGGCAGGGCAGGGCGCGCTGGCCTCCGCAGACAGTACAGTAAATAAGCGCCGGTTAAGCTCCTAGCGCCTTCCTGCAGACAAAGCACGGAAACTCTTAAATAGGGCGACGAACCTGAAGGTCAATGTTCTCAACTTTGACGTAAAGGTAAAAGGCACAGCTAAGAGAAGATAACATGCCCATGTCTTTCTAACGCTGATACAACAAAACAAAAAAATTCAGGTTTAACTATATTATTGAAGGAATTTCTAGAACATACGGTAATAAGTTACAGAAATTCAGAGAGAGAGAAGGGAAGGGGAATAATATTTAGCCTTGATCTATCATAGTAGTCGACAGATAACATGATACCTTAAATTGATAATTCAGTAAATCAATTCCACAACTGTGGAAAGAGCTGCCAAAATAGGGGAAATAGTTCAGAGTTACCCACTCCCTCCCTAAGGGGAGAGGTGAGTTGGGGCTGTGGACTTGGCTTTTTATTATAAATCCTTCTGTGATCTTATTTTTTAAACCACTTTGTACACATTACTGTAATTAAAAAAGAAGGGAAATTTTAGGGAAGGCGTTATAGATTTTCAAACTACTTTTGTCTCTCTAAAGACTTGGGTAATTTAGAAGAGGGAAAAAACCTCAAATAATTCTTGTGGGTATTAAAATTTAGAGTGTCCCTGTGGTCCCAGCTACTTGGGAGGCAGAGGCAGGAGACTCGTTTGAGCCCAGGAGCTGGAGGTTGCTGTGAGCTGTGATGTTACGGCACTCTACCCAGGGGGATAGCTTGAGGCTCTGTCTCAAAAAAATAAATAAATAAAATTTAGAGTGTCCTGCTGCCTCCTTCTCCTTGCTCAAATCCAAGTGAACTCATGCTGATGGTGTGACTCCAGGGTCATCTTTTGCATAGGCTATAGGCTACTACCCTCAAAAGAAATCTTGCCAAGGACAAGAAGACCTCCCCACTGTGCAGTTGTTGCCGGGTTTTACCTTTCAATCCTTAAGGAAGACAGCTTAATAGCGTAGAGAACACAGTGGGCCTACAGTCAGAAAAGCTGGAGTTCTAGCCATACTTGGTACCAACAGAGGAGCATTTTGCCAAATGGTTTATGGGGGAAATTACCTATTTGTCTTGCTCACAGGAGAATCAAAGAGAAACACTATGAAGAAGTATTTTGTGCCCTTTTCAAATGGAATGTTGGGTCATTATTACTGATACTTGTTAAAGAGCAGGTACCCATGGGGATAATTATGACCATCAAAATAAATAATAGTAATAGATTGTAACCCATTGAATAAGAGAACAATCCATGAGTCCATACTCATATAAAGGGAAGAGAAAAGAAAGCTTTCTTAAAGTGCAATACCAACCAAAAAATGTGGAAGAAATAATGGTGTTAGAAATAATGGTGGCTTGGCGCCTGTGGCTCAAGTGGCTAAGGTACCAACCACATACACCTAAGGTGGTGACTTTGAATCCAACCCGGGCCCGCCAAACAACAATGACGGCTGCAACCAAAAAAATAGCTGGGTGTTGTGGTGGGTGCCTGTGGTCCTAGCTACTTGGGAGGCTGAGGCAGGAGACTCGCTTGAGCCCAGGAGTTGAAGGTTGGTGTGAGCTGTGATGCTACAGCACTCTACCCAGGGCGACAGCTTGAGGCTCTGTCTCAAAAAAGAAAAAAAAAAAAAGAAATAATCGTAAACTCACAAATCCTTTTCTTCTGAATCCAGGTATGCGAAGGCAAATGTTGCTGACCTACTTTTTATTGCTGGGTTAAGAAGAAGAAATCTAGGTCTCCATAAATCCTCTACCGCACTAGTTATTAATATTCAGGTAGACATATTAGAGTCAAAATAAAATCTTTTTTTTTTTTTTTTTTGAGACAGAGCCTCAAGCTGTCCCCTTAGGCAGAGTGCTATGGCATCACAGCTCACAGCAACCTCCAACTCCTGGGCTCAAGCGAGTCTCCTGCCTCAGCCACCCAAGCAGCTGGGACCATAGGCACCTGCCAGAATGCCCAGCTTTTTTTTTCTGGTTGCAGCCATCATTGTTGTTTGGCAGCCCGGGCTAGATTCGAACCCACCACCTTAGGTGTAAGTGGCTGGCGCCTTAGCCACAGGCGCCGAGCCAAAATAAAATCATTTAAAAACAACTATCCTAATCACTATAAATAGAGCCCTTTGGAAAGAGAGAAAATTGGGCTTAGGGTTTGCTAATGGTGATTTGTGAAAGCTGAAGGGCTAGAATCATGTCCTTGACCATACCACTTATCTGGAAGTTTGAAGATGCTGGCTGTTTACTCTACGGCGAACAGAAACTCATTTTAGTTCCAAACAGAAAAAGTGTATTAGAATGTTCTTACTATAGAAAGAGAGAGGGGAAGAAAGGAAGGAAGGAAAGAAAGAGATTGATCTGGAGAATTAAAGCTATTGATAGTTTAAAATAGCAAAACAAAACAGCCCACAAGTTAGTGAGGTATGTTAAGTGGGTTCTTCTTAAGGACACTATTTAAGGAATTATTTTGTCTAGAAAAATCATGAACAAAAACTGCATTGAAAAAGCGGTGTTAGTTTTCAGAGCTACATTTGCAGGGTTCTCCATTATTCATTTAGTGTATTTAATCATAGCTAAAAAGCAATCATAAGTAGCCTCTTTAGCAACATTAATATTATTTGAGTTAGTAGTAGCTAGTAAATACCTACGTTGATTCTAACAGGAGGATTGCAGTGTTTGCTTAATAATTCACTGCTATTTTGTGCACTCGCCCAGCCTAATCATTAAATTATTTTGCTACTTCTAAAGTCTTCAGCATAAAACAATTTGAGGTAAAGAAGATCCAGCTTCAGAGATTCTTTTCCTTTTGTTGAAAAGACCCAATGTACTTGTTCTTTGGTGTTTTGTTGCTATAGTAAAAGCATGTAAGGAGAGTTTTAGATACTAGTGGTAGTTCTAAAAAAATTATAAGTGGTGATTTTCAGTATGATACTTTCAAAAAACAAGTATTCACTATGATGACAGTAATCTAAAGCAAAATATTGATGGCTCCTTTTGCAGAAGGAAGTAAGGAAGATTTTTACTTCGTCCTCAATATAAAAACAAAAAGAAGTTCAGACTATAGCTTTTCATAATGCTCTTAAAACCTCATATTCTTAGGTGTAGACAGGCTGAGTACTGAACTCAAATTCTTTGAAAAATTTTTGAATTCAACTTGGGGAGCTTATGACCCTTTGCAGAATTCTGTGTTTATAAATACCTGCCTTCTGACTTAATGATAGGTAAGTTTAGAAAGGTGTGGCACACTTCTTGTTTTAGGATCCTGAAATAAAACTGAGAGGAAAAAATGCCTAGATTTTGGTAGGTTAAATTTGTATCTTGGCATTGGCTCTAGTGACTCCCTTGTTTTTGATTCTCTTAGTAACAAAGTGACCTCTAGCCTTAATTAGTCTTTAGTCTCACTTAAGCTGAAAGAAACTCCCTAGAGTGAAGTGGGTTTTTTTGTTTTGTTTTGTTTTTTTGAGACAGAGTCTCACTATGTTGCCCTTGGTAGAGTGCTGTGGCATCACAGCTCACAGGAACCTCAAACTCTTGGGCTTAAGTGATTCTCTTACTTCAGCATCCCAAGTAGCTGGGACTATAGGCATCTGCCACAACGCCCGGCTATTTTTTCATTGCACTTGTTTAGCTGGCCCAGGCTGGGTTCAAACCCACCACTCTTGGTGTATGTGGCTGGTGCCATAACCACTGTGCTATGGGTGCCAAGCCACCCAGACCAAAGTTTTTGTTTGTTTGTTTTGTTTTTGGCCAGGGCTGGGTTTGAACCCGCCACCTCCAGCACATGGGGCTGGCGCCCTACTCTTTTGAGCCACAGGCGCTGCCCCCAGACTGAAGTTTTTACCAGTAGTTCCTAGGTTTTTCAAATCTGAGAGTTACCTTTTAAAGACAAAAATGTTGGCTCGGCGCCTATAGCTCAACTGGCTAAGGCGCCAGCCACGTACACCTAAGGTGGCGGGTTCGAATCCCCAGCCCGGACCCGCCAAACAACAATGACGGCTACAACCAAAAAATAGCCGGGCATTGTGGCGGGCGCCTGTGGTCCCAGCTACTTGGGAGGCTGAGGCAGGAGACTCGCTTGAGCCCAGGAGTTGGAGGTTGCTATGAGCTGTAATGCCATGGCACTCTACCCAGGGGGACAGCTTGAGGCTTTGTCTCAAAAAAAAAAAAAAAAAAAAGACAAAAATGTTGACTGACCTCCACAGAATAGTACTTGTACTGTTCAAGTGCATAATGATGAAAAAAACCAGATGTGCATATTATCATTGCAGCAGAATCTAAAAACACTTTAACATATGTAGGCAAAAATATCCTTTTTTAAAGACAATGCATGCTGTACATATTAATTTTATAACCTTTTTCTGTAATTTTAGGGCCCTACTACTCATAGAATTAAATAATCTGATAATTTGAGCCAAATGCCTACTTCCCCCTCTGACTTACCCTCTCTTTGCCTAAGAAATTTGGCAATATACACTGAAATGTCTGTTTATTTCTGTTCCTGAATCTCCACAGTTAAAGCAGAGGCCCAAGGAGCATCCAAGCAAGAAACATCCCTCAAGTTATTGAAATATTTGTCTGTTTTCCAATTAAGAATGTGGAGACCTGGTCAAATTCAGTAAGCCAGGAATAAAACAGAACGACCATTGCGTTCTCTTAAAACTACAATCAAGATTAAAAGGAGGAAAACTCTATGCCGACTTCTTGCTTGGTTAGCCTTTTCCAGTTGTGTAAATCAAAAGGTAAAACAATAGGTTAGATTTCAGAGGGCCTGTGCTTCAGAGCAAGGATCAGAATGTGTTATTTCTATGCCCATCTTAGATATGTCCTTTGAGTCAAAGCTACATTGCCTATCAGGAGAAGATCAAGAATAAATCTTTAAATGCAAGGTGATACTACTGAATGGACAAGTTTATAATAAGATGAAGGGCTTGCTTCTGTATCTTCTCTCTGACTTTATCAAAAGGCTGTCACTTTGTTCTTTTTCTATGGCACCCTCCTGATTAGGGAGGATGAGAATGCTACAAACATATCTCTCTGGCCACTAGTTAAGCGTGTCCAAACTCCTGGGTAAATCCCACTTTATAAGTTAGAAGATATAATATGGCTCAGCGCCTGTGGCTCAAGTGGCTAAAGTGCCAGCCACATACACCTAAGGTGGCAGGTTCGAATCCAGCCCGGGCCCGCCAAAACAACAATGATGGCTGCAACCAAAAAATAGCAGGGCATTGTGGTGGGCGCCTGTGGTCCCAGCTACTTGGGAGGCGGAGGCAGGAGACTTGCTTGAGCCCAGGAGTTGGGGTTGCTGTAAGCTGTGATGTCACGGTACCCTACCCAGGGCGACAGCTTGAGGCTCTGTCTCAAAAAAAAAAAAAAAGAAGAAGAAGAAGAAGATATAATAAAAATATAAATGGAAGAGCAAGACCCCATATCTAAAAAATAGCTGGGTACTGTGGTGGACGCCTATAATCCCAGCTACTTGGGAGGCTGAGGCAAGAGGATCATCTGAATCCAAGAGTTTGAGGTTGCTGTTGACTAAGACACCACGGCTCTCTACCAAGGGTGACCAAGTAAGACTGTTTAAAAAAAAAAAAATACTCAATGATTAAATAAGTATTAAATCACAGCTAGTAGTTTTGGACTCTTAATTAACTAAAATTAACTAATGTCCCCCAGAATTTTGCCACCCATTACTAATGGTATACAAACAGCAAATTTAACCTTATTTGTTTATTTTTTTCCTAAACTAAGGAAAGAAGAGTTCCTCTGCTTGGAAAATGACACTTTTAAATATCAAACCCATTGCTTGGGCATACTCTATGATAACATTAGGGACTGAAATGCTAAATTCTACCTTCAGGTTCTACTATGTAAAACTTTTTCTACATCTGTACAAGATTTCAGAAATGGCCTTTTATCAAGCCCAGGTGAGATGGAATGTTTACTAGCTTTTCATGTAGGACAGACCTTCTTTTTCTTCATATCTGTGTATTGTAATTTGCCAAAGAGCTGATTCTTCCAAGATAGATGAAAAAGTTGTCAAGAAAAGTTACTCATGTCAAAATTTCTCTTTTGGGTGGCCATTTTGAGATGTTTAAAAGATTGCCACTTAAAAGATAAAAGTTTGAGAGTTTAAAGTGTAAGCTTTGGTTATCTGGAAAATTAACTTACGTGGAACAATCAGTATTCTTATTAAGATATTTATTGTCTTGAAAAGGCCCATGATGTTTACAAATTGTTATAGTAACTTGTGACCAATGAGGTCAGGTTGGATAGAGTTCATGGTTTTAAAACCCTTATATTTTATGGTAGCCATTTATTACTGCCAATAACATACTTCTTAGATCTGCTTTGAGTTGCTAAACATTGATATTTTAACTTTTCCCATGAAATTATGTAAAATGATGCAGCAGTCTCTCTGCAAAGACATGACTCTGTGTACCATTGTTAAGAGGCAGATATTCTAGCATAAATTGAAAGCATAGACTCTGCCCTAAGTGTATACTGGTTAGTAGTCTGCATTGTGAAAGCACAGACTCTGGAGTCATCAGCCTTGGTTCAGACTCTGGGTGTATTGTTTCTTAGCTAGCAAGTTGCTCTCTGGCTCTGTTTTCTCATCTGTAAGGTCAGGAGTGATAATAGTACCTACGATTGTACCTGTCTTGTAGGATTGTTTTTAATATTTGATAAAATAAGCTGGGCGTGGTGGCGGGTGCCTGTAGTCCCAGCTACTCGGGAGGCTGAGGCAAAAGATCGCTTGAGCCCAAGAGTTTGAGGTTGCTGTGAGCTATGACGCCAGAGCTGCCTACAGGGGGCAACAAAGTGAGACTCTGTCTCTCAAAAAAAAATAAAATAGGCTCAGCGCCTGTGGCTCAAGTGGCTAAGGTGCCAGCCACGTACACCCAAGGTGGCAGGTTCGAATCCAGCCCGGGCCCGCCAAACAACAATGACGGCTGCAACCAAAAAATAGCCAGGCGTTGTGGTGGGCGCCTGTGGTCCCAGCTGCTTGGGAGGCAGAGGCAGAAGACTCGCTTGAGCTCAAGAGTTGGAGGTTGCTGTGAGCTGAGATGCCACGGACTCTACCCAGGGGGACGGCTTGAGGCTCCTGTCTCAAAATAAATAAATAAATAAATAAATAAAATAAAATAATGCACATAAAGCGGTTATACAATGTCCAAACACAGTACGAATGCACATTGGCTTTTGAATAGTATTACCTATCATTAGTATTTCGGGTACTTCAGAAACAATGAGCTTTTTTACTCATTAGCATTGGTTACTTCACATAAGTGGAAAAAAAATTCAGGGGTCATTTTTATTTTGTAATCCTGTATGTTTTTTCTCCCTAGATAATTTTAATGATCTGGAATATTCTTAATAACCTGACTGCGTATTTTCATGACAACTCTAAGGCCGAATGCTGTTCAAATCGTCATGTTTCTATCTTGTATGGTGCCCCTTTATATGCAATGTCTTTCCTGCTTCCTTGGTTCCCTTGGAAATACTATCAAGAAGGTGACTGGCTTAGTGGATTTCACCTGGTGGTGTCATTATGTGCTTTTGATAGCACGCTTACCTGTGTTCAGCAAGCCCAATGTACATTGTTTGCAGAGATTCTCACTAGACATGAAAGTAGGCTTCAGCTTATTAAAATTAACCAAGTGGCATCACTGGTAGCATCTACCAGTGTCCTCTTCTGTGGCCTCATCTCTAAGAATGTGGAAATTTTGCCCCATTTTCAGGCTGTTGCTATTGTCATTGCCTTTCTTGCTGCTGTCAGCCTTTACACTGGCATGTACCACATGAGACATTTTGAACTGAAAAGGAGCCCTGAGGAAAACCTCTTGGAAAGCGAAGAGGATCTTGCCTGGGCCTCTATCATCTTATCCGTGAGACAACTCTTGTCCCAGAAAAACTGTTACCTCTTTCTGATGATGAATTTCTTCCAAGTCTTTCATTTAACCTTCCTCACCAACTTCATGATGATCTTTGCAGATGATCTCATTCCCAGGGACGTGCTGCCTTCTTCCCTGAGGAGCATCATGTATGGGGCAGGTTTTATTTGCCCACAGGTATGTGATAATTCTTCATGTATTTTCTTGCAGGGATTAGAGGAAATTAGAAAACTGATTTCATTGGTGATTTGAAAAAATGACACACATGCTTTAAGAGACCCAAATAAAAAGAGGTCCAGATACTATACAAAATTCAGCAGAAACAGAATAGAAAAAACAGATGAAAGAAAAAAGAAAAGTGAACCGAATGAAAGCCAAGCAACCTGATATGTTAAACATTTCTACTTTTGGATCTTGTTCCCCTGAGTTTTTTCATTTAAACCTCAGCAGAGCTGTGGAACAAAATAAATGGCTTCCTATAACCTTGCAGTTTTGCTTTGTTGAGGTATTTAAGATTTCTGTTACTGTTATAAAGAACAAAGAAAGTTACTTGATCAAGAATTCTTTTTTTTTGAGACAGAGTCTCACTTTGTTGCCCTTGGTAGAGTGCCGTACCATCACAGCTCACAGCAACCTCTAGCCCCTGATTCTCTTGCCTCAGCCTTCCGAGTAGCTGGGACTACAGGCACCTGCCATGACACCTAGCTATTTTTTGTTGCAGTTTGGCCAGGGCCGGTTCTAACCCGCCACCCTCAGTATATGGGGCAGGAGCCTACTCACAGAGCCACAGGCGCCACCCTTGATCAAGAATTCTTAGAGCCAGGTTTCAAAACACTTGGCAAAAAGCTGGAGTCCTGGAATTCCAGAGCATTATTAAAATTCCATGGTCATGACCATTATTATAGAGGGCATGTCCTTCAAAAAAATATATTGGCCCACTGTTTGTTATATAATTTGGAGAGCTGGCATATTTTCCCCCTTAACCTAAACATATTCTCCAAAAATATGACTTGAGCAGGGCATAGTAGCACACACCTGGAGTCCCAGTTACTCAAGAGGCTAAGGCAAAAGGCTTATTAGGGTCCAGGACTTTGAGTCTAGCCTGGGCAACATAGTAGGACCCTGTCTCTTTTAAAAAAAAAATGTGACTTATCTAGCCTATAATATAGATTTCTCCCATTTTCACAATTAAATGATAAGTGGTAAAAGGTACTGTGCAGGGTGGCACCTGTGGCTCAAAGGAGTAGGGTGCTGGCCCCATATGCCAGAGGTGGTGGGTTCAAACCCAACCCTGGCCAAAAATTGCAAAAACTAAAATAAAATAAAAAAATAAGATGTACTGTGCCTACATCATTTATTTAGCAGAGTATATCAAATGAAATTTCATTTTGGTTTATCAATATAGTCCCAGCTGTGTGCATGATAAAACAGTGCTTCCCTTTCTGAGCAATTTGAGGTTCGTCAAGCCATTTACTCTTAGGTTCAACCCCCAGAATGGGAAGCTGTGCATTTTCCTGTCGCTTCTTTATATTTGCTGTCAGATATTAGGCTCTATATACAGGCAGTACCCAGGTTATGAATGAGATAGATTCTGTAGGTTTGTTCTTAAATTGAATTTGTATGTAAGTTGGAACAGGTACATTGACCTATTACCTATGATAGCCTCCATTTGCAATGGCGGCTAAGTTGTATGTCAGTCAGATGTTTGTAACTTGGGGATTTACTATAATGCTCTCTGTTCATTAAGTGTGAGTTTAGACTGCCTATAACTTCTTACTTCAAATCTTCAGTGTATAGTACTTGCCTATAGTTTCTCCTCTTCACCAAATAAAGTTTGTTAAACTCTTTTGTAAAAAACAGTAGATAGATTTTTAAAAAATAGCTTTGTTGGCTCAGTAGTTACAGTAGTTACAGCACCAAGGTTAGTGGGTTCGAACCCAGCCTGGGTCAGCTAAACAACAATGAAAACTGCAACAAAAAAATAGCTACTTAAGCCCAAGAGTTTGAGGTTGCTGTGAGCTGTGACACCATGGCATTCTACCCAGGATGACATAGTGAGACTTTGTCTCAAAAAAATAAATAAATAGCTTTGTTGGGATATGATACATACACCATACAATTTAATCATTTAAAGTGTACAATCCAATGTATTTTAATATATTCACAGAGTCATGCAACCAGCATCATTATCCATCTTAGAACATTTTCATTACTCCCACAAAAAAATCAGTCCCCGCTCCATTCTCCATTCAGCCCCTGGTAACCACTTAATCTACTTTCTGTTTCTATGGATTTACTTACTCTGGACTTTCATACAAATGGAATCAGATAATATATGATCTTTTGTGACTGGCTTCTTTCACTTAGCGTGTTTTTTTAACCTTATATGCAGTTTGACTTACATTTGGCACCTTTTTAAAGTTTATCCATGTTGTAGCAAGTATGAGTATTTCATTCCAGTTGATGATCTAAGAATATTCCATTGAATGGTTAAACCACATTTTGTTTATCTGTTCATCAGTTGATGGATGTTTGGGTTGTTTCTACTTTTTGGCTATTAATGACTAATGATGTTATGAACATTGATGTACAAGTCTTTGCACAGACGTATATATTCTTTTCATTTTCGTTGTACATCTGGGAGTAGAATAGCTGTGTCATATGGCAACTCCGTGCTTCACAATTTGAGATATAGGTACCAAAATGGCAGCACCATTTTACATCCCTACCCATAGTGTAGGGTGGTTCCAGTTTTTCCAACTCTATACCAACATTTATTATCTGTTTTTTTGATCATAGCCATCCTAGCATATGTGAATGACATCTCATTGTGGTTAGATTTGCGTTTTCCTGATAGTTTATAATGTTGATCATGCTTTTATATGCTATTGGCCATTTGTGTATGTTCTTTGGAGAAAAGGCCATTCAGTTTATTTGCCCAGTTTTTTTTAATTGCAGTGGTTTGTCTTTTTATCGTTCAACTGTAATAATTCTTCATGTATTTTTGATACAGCCTATCAGATCTATTGTTTGCAACATTGTTCTCTTATTTTATGGGTTGTCTTTTTACTTTCTTGATGAAATTGGGAACTATGAGTCCTCCTATGTTGTTTTCTTTGTAAAGATTGTTTTGGCTATGCTCTTGAAAATCCATATAAATTTTAGAATCAGCTTGTCCATTTCTACAAAGAAGTCAGTGGGGATACTAGTAGACATTGCATTGAAGCTCAGATCTGTTTTGTAATACTGCCATCTTAATGATATTAAATTTCATGATCCATGAACATAGGATATTTTTTCCTTCTACTTATATTTTCAAAAATTTCTTTTAACAATGTTTTGTATGTTAACCCTTTCTTTTGTTAACCCCTTCTTGTATGTTAACAATGTTAACCCTTTCTTTTGTTAAAAATTTATTCCTAAGTATTTAGATAGATATTCAGTGAAGGCCTGATGGGCTTTGCCGAGTAAAGTACCTGAGCTTTACTAAATACATACATGCAGTGATCTTATTTTGGTGGTTTCCATAGATGTCTTTTGCTTCTTTTTAGTTTTAAGCTACATTCTGAGTAGAGATCACCAGATGGTCATTTTCTGATGAAGAAGCTGCTATGTTTCTGAATGAATCATAACTTCCTTTTTTAAAAAAACCTTTTATTGCAAAAATAATACTGATTGTTGTAAAATTCCATTTACTACTACATTACTTCTAATCAAACTACTACTACTTCTTATCCTTTTTGTATTTCACTTACTGAGGTTTTAAAATGTAACTATATAAAATTACTCAACCTCTTAGTGCCTCAGTTTCCTCATCTATAAAACAAGAACCAAAATATTACCTACTTAATGGAATTTTTTTTTTTTTTGAGACAGAGCCTCAAGCTATCCCCCTGGGTAGAGTGCCATGGCATCACAGCTCACCACAACCTCCAACTCCTGGGCTCAAGCGAGTCTCCTGCCTCAGCCTCCCAAGTAGCTGGGACCACAGGCGCCCACCACAATGCCCAGCTATTTTTGGTTGCAGCCATCCTTGTTGTTTTGGCGGCCTAGGCTGGATTCAAACCCGCCACCTTAGGTGTATGTGGCTGGCGCCTTAGCCACTTGAGCCACAGGTGCTGAGCCTACTTAATGGAATTATTATGAGGATTAAATGAATTGAAACATCCAAAGTAGGTTGGGCACTCTGGGAGGCAGAGGCAGGTGGATTGCCTGAGATCAGAGATTCAAGACCAGCCTGAGCCAGAGTGAAACCTTGTCTCCAAAAATAGCCAGGCATTGTGGCAGGTGCCTGTAGTCCCAGCTACAAGGGAGGCTGAGGCAAGAGAATTGCTTGAGCCCAAGAGTTCGAGGTTGCTATGAGCTATAACGCCATGGCACTCTACCGAGGGCAACAAAGTGAGACTCTGTCTCTAAAAAAAAGAAAAAAATCCAAAGTACTTAAATCATTTCCTCACACCAAATAAATACTGTAGAAATGTTAGATCTTATTATATACAACCGATTCAATACAGCAAATGTTTATTAGACTTTCACTGCAAGCATAGCATTGTCTTCATCTTTCTGTTTTGATTTAGGTTCCTTTGGTGTTGGTTTGCCAACACTTATGTTGGGGACTCTGTTGAATGGGGAGACCAAGTCCTCAGTTTTAATGTTGAGGCTTTATTTTAGTAAGAGAGAAAGTCATCTTTACCTTTTTTTCATGATTTTTATAAAACTATTCACCATTGGCTTCTGTCTTCTTATATATTTGACATAAGAATAATAGCTTAGAATTATCAGTACCTTGTGTGTTGAAGATGGTGCTAGATAAGAAAGAGAAAGGGAGGCGGGGAGAGAAAGAGGGAGAGAGTTAGTAGGTGGGGGAAATACCTCTTAGGTAAAGCAATTTGTGAACACATAGGTGATAAAAGTGGCAAAGCTTGAATTCAAACCTAGGGAGTAGAGACATTTGATTTCACAATCTTGCCCTTTCTACTCTGCTTCACATTTCTTATATTAACTTATTTTGTGTATTTATGTATTAGAGATGGAGAAGAAGCAGTTTCATTTCAATATGTAGAAATTTGTTACTTTGTAATATTACATTTCAGAATACAATTATACTTGCTGGAATGTTTTTTATGTTTATTTATTTATTTTTTTTTTAGAGATAGGGTAAAAAAAAAAATTCCAAGTCTGATATCTTAACATGAATCTATTAGAAAGATATAAATATATAAGGTGAGGTGGGACATCAGGCGCCCACCGCAACACCCGGCTATCTTTGCAGCCATCATTGTTGTTTGGTGGGCCTGGGCTGGATTCAAACCCGCCACCTTAGGTGTAAGTGGCTGGCACCTTAGCCACCTGAGCCACAGGCACCCAGCTGCAGATTCAATATATAATGAGAATGTTTATTTTGTCATCAGCAAGAGTAAGCAAGAATAAAGCACGGGATTCCATCTTAACACACTACCATTCTGCTTTCATTTCAGTGCCTGGTACTAATACTTACCAGTCAGTCCTGGCTGAAGAAGTTTGGTTACTATAGGATTATCTTAATGTCTTTCTACCTAGAAGGAACAGCTTCCGTCGTCATGTTACTTCTGGGACGGCAATACTATTACTGTTTGGCTGTTTATCTCACTATTATCATGTAAGTAAATGCCAGGTCCAATCTTAGAACGCCCTGAACACCACCCTTCAAGGGGTGAAACATCTTTGCGCTGAACTGAGTGTAACATGTGTTTCTAGGCAGAGTCAATGCACCGTTTTGCCAGTCTGTGTGAATGATACCAGCTTGTTTTTTTAAAGGAGTTAAGTTCATTTTTTTAACCTATTAAGGTGCAATGTTTAGTAAGTCCTGCTGCCAAGTATAAGAGAGGTTCCTCCTTCCACCCCTCCTCCTATTTCTGCAACCTCTTCTCCTCCTCCTCTACAAGCACCCACTCCTCCCTTCCCACAGGCATCTCAGATTCCGCATATTCAAATCAAGGATCTTGCCTCTCTTAAATCTGCTCTTTTGCCATTGTTTCCCATCTTGGGAAATGGCTCTGCTGCCTCTCTCGTTGCCCAGGTCAGGAACTGAGAAGTTGTCTTTGCCTTCTTTGTCTTCTTTGACACTACTAATCATTAGCAATTTCATCTCCCTAATGTGTCCTGAATTCATACCTTCTCTGTTCTGTTGCCATTCCTGCAGCTCCAGTCCTCACGTCTCTTACATGGATCTACATGGCCTCCTCTGTGGTCCCCTTGTGTCTACTCTGCAGTCCTTCCAACCCCTTCTCCCATGTTGCTTCTAGAATAACATGTCATTCCTTTGCTTAACAATTTTAAGTGGCTTCTCATTGCATTGGGAGTATAGCCAAAGTGATATTCTTTGTTACGTAGGCCCTCTTTATCTCTTCATCCTCATTTCTTGTTACTCCCCCTCCACTTTGAGTGCACTCTCTGCCATCCAGAAGTACCTGTACAAGTACTTCAAACACCTGTGTCTAGCAGATACAGTTTCCAGCTTGACCCTATTTCCTGCTTGGCTCTCTCCTGGTGTTTCTCAGGCTGCAACTCAGGTATGTGCTTCTGCTGGGAGACTTTCCTCTGGATTCGCTGCCCCTCCTACATGACCCAAAGCCCTGAGCTTATCTCTGCTGCAGTGCTTATGCCTCTCTGCCTGTGACTGTCAGTGGTCCCCATGGGACTGAGATTATCGTGCCTAAGTCTCTTATCACTGTGGCCCATTACCTACTGCAGGTCTTATCAATAGTCCAGTTCTTGCAAATAGTCCTTAGAAAATGTGTTTTCAGGGAATGAATTAATAAATTCTATTTCAGGTCCCTGCTGGAACAATTTGAGAAAATTTTCATGAAGGTTTATTTATTTTGAACACGCTGGTAGTAGAGAATGTAGCAATTAACTAAAGGATTGAATATCAATAAATAACTATTTTATAAGTCTGTAAGAGTGGCTTTGGCTACATAATATTTAAATGGCATTTTATAGTGCTTTTTAGAATGAAGAATGGTCTTTGCTTTTTTATTTACTTAAATCATTCCCCTGATTTTTATTCTCTTGTCATTAATTAAAATGCTATATGCCCCTTTCTGGTTCTTAACTTATGCTATGCTTGATATCAAGAGAAAGATTTCTGATGGCATGTTCTGTTCTTTAGAGTTTATTCATAATTTAAATGTGCGGCTATTCGTTTAGGAATGAGGAAAAAGCATAAAATTCACTTGTAAAAATCCCAAGTGAACATAATTATTTCATTTTAAAGAAGAATTACATTCATAGATATATAACATTTGAGGGGACAGAAATATATGCCTAATATGTTTTATCCTTCGTAGTATATTATTTCCTTTTTCTTCTTGAAAACCATATGTCAACATGTCAACAACTTTTGTTTGATTTTTTTTAAAAAGCTTTGTCTCCCAATTGTAAAATATATATATATATGTATATGTATATGTTTAATTTTTTTTCCTAGGGTGATTGTGCAAGCTTCTTTTTCCTTGTTTAACCTGCCACTAGCTGACATGGTTGATGCAGATTTACTAAAGTTCAATCGGCAGTAAGTATATTTATTCAACTATTAGCTACAAACATATTATATGTCAGCTGGACCCCTATCTCATGAGAAAAGAGATAGCAGAGCTCGTCTTTCCTTTCCTGCCTTGTCTTTTTTTCCCTCCTTAGTTGCAAGGTGGTCATCATTGGTTGAAATGTAAGGGTTTGGTGAATGCATTTGATTTCTTTTATATGAAATGATTATTCTTTTTTTTTTTTTTT